TTAAGCCCCTCCCCAAAATTTAGGCCTATTTAAACCATGCGTTCCCCACCATTTCTCACATCACTTGAACTATACGAGGTAAAGAGAAATGGGGGGGGGGGGAATGACAGGGGGAAACTTGCCTTTAGGAGCCCCCTGCAGGTAGCCTCGGCTAGAGCATCCCGCAGGCAGACTCGCCTCTATCAACCGATAGAAGCGCCCTGTGGGCAGAATTGCCTCTCCTCGCCACAAGGCCACTTCTATTGGCCGATAGAAACTCCCTGAGGGCAGAATCAACCAGATGCTTCTATCAGCTGTTATTTGAATGTCCTGGAATATCTAGGAAGATGTAAGAGATGTGTATCATCTTATTCTATGGGCAAACTACAGGAACGGGCAAGGTAGGTACTGTATTTGCGCAAACCACGCCACAGACTACAATGTCTGTGCAGAAGCCAAAACTATATTTGTGGATTACCCTCGCCCTTGTACTGTCTGAAAAAGAGATGCCAAAATACCCCACCAAGCACACAAGGGAGAGCTGAAGCCAGACTCAACCACTTTGTCAGTGGTTGGGCTGCAAGCAAAACCTCGAGAAGGGGGTAGGAGAAAGCTTGCAGTTTTACAGACAACAATCTCCGTGTTCCCCCTCGAAGCATACCTTCCCCCTCGAAGACACTAGTGGATGGCAAGGGGCACAAAGATCCCCCAGCGATCTCCCTTTGAAACCAGTTGAGCAATTGAGTAAACTGCTAGTTCCCTTAGTTGGCAGCCTAAACGGAGGGGCCCAGAACTGCCCATTGCAGGTGATAGGTGGAATCAGCTTCTTTAGCGACCTTCCTGCAACCCATTCCATCCAAGTGGTTGCAGTGGGAAATCATGTGGCGGGGGGGAAATAGGGCTATCTGAGGGGACGAAGAAGAGCAGCAGGCTTGGGAAGCAGAAATGCAGTGGGGATCTTGAGATCGTCTGATATTTACTCTGACAACGGCATACGTACGTGATTGAGTTTGCAGTTGGGAACCTGATGCATACCCATGCCTTGCCATGAGGATAGAAGCGGCTGGTGACTCTGACCTCAGGGCACTTCTATCGGCTGATAGAAGCGGCCTTGTGGTGAGGTGAGTGCGCATGGCACTCTAGGTGGAGGTGCGCGTGGGGGGAAGAAATTAAGTCACCTCCGAAAAGATGGCCTAGCCATTTTTTCGGGGCTCAAAAAAAAAAAGGCCCAGCCTTATTTTGTGAGAAACACGGTATTTATTACAGTCATGGATCAGCACAAAAATTAAACATTAAAAATTAAAGAAAAATTAAACATTAAAATAAAAAAAATCTGAACAGAACCAAACAGTAGTTTAATTTTGCTGTTGGCTTTATGGACTGTGGCTTTTTTCTATATAGTGGATAGATGTCAAGCCAAATACCTTGGGTGAATAGTGTTCTAGAAATTTATACATTGTGTGCTTGCTTTGCAAGGAGAGGTTATTATTTTTGAAATATATTTATCATTATTCAATTAGGGGAAACAATTTGTGTATAGGTTTGTTTTGTTTTTCCTTTTAAGGCACATTATTTTCTCTTTGTGTAGTCTTGTCTAGTTTTGTTTCACTTTTACATTTCCTTTCCTTTCCTTTCCTTTCCAAACTCCCATTTTTTGGAGTTTGCATTGTAATGTTTTGAATACAAAATACAAAAAAGTTATAGAGGAAAAATAGCATGAAGAAATGCCCAAGTGTTCAACAAAATAACACTTCCCCTGGAATCAGAATCCTGAATAATGATGAAAAAAATAATTCTCCTAGGTTTGTCAGTCTAAATAGAATGTGAGGGTTTATTTTCACTCTTTTCCAAAGGAGAAAAGAATTTCAATTTAATTCTCAAGGGTGGACTATGGCATTCTTATTTAGTTACCAGATGGCCGAGAAGTGTGTGTGAATGCTACATTTTTTTTATATATATTATACAATCCTCTTTCCAGCAGTCTGCAGCCTCCCTGGTTCCTCACACTTCAGTTAAGTCCCAGAGAAAGATCTCAAGAAGGAACTTCTTTCGTGGGGTTTTCAGTTTGGAAGTGAGACTGGTGAGGGAGGCTTCAGAGTGATTGAAAAATATGTAAAAGAAAACAACCATTGGGATCACCCTTGCTCTTTCAAAGCAAAATGCTGTACAACTGCATCAAAAACAAAGGAAAAATATGCATTCAAAAATGTAGATAATGGTAGAAAACAGAGCTCATTTTCCACTGGGATAGAAACTGCAAGACAAAATTTGGCACAGTATTACTTCAGCTTAGAATAACAGAGTTGGAAGGGACCTTGGAGGTGATCTAGTCCAACCCCCTGCCTAAACAGAAAACCCTATACTATTTCAGACAAATGGCTATCCAACATTAAAAAAAAAAAAAAACTTCCAGTGTTGGAGCATTCACAACTTCTGGAGGCAAGTTGTCCCACTGATTAATTGTTCTGACTCTCAGGAAAATTCTCCTTAGTTCTAGGTTGCTTCTCTCCTTGATTAGTTTCCATCCATTCCTTCTTGTCCTGCCTTCTGGTGCTTTGGAGAACAGCTTGATTCCCTCGTCTTTGTGGCAGCCCCTGATATATTGGAACACTGCTATCATCTCTCCTCTAGTCTTTTCATTAGACTAGACATACCCAGTTCCTGCAACTGTTCATCATATGTTTTAGTCTCCAGTCCCCTAATCATCTTTGTTGCTCTTCTCTGCACTCTTTCTAGAGTCTCAACATCTTTTTTTTACATCGTGACAACCAAAACTGAATGCAATATTCCAAGTGTGGCCTTACCAAGGCATTATAAAGTGGTATTAACACTTCACATGATCTTGATTCTATCCCTCAGTTTATGCAGCCTAGGACTGTGCTAGCTTTTTTGGCAGCTGCTGCACACTGCTAGCTCATATTTAAATGGCTGTCCACTAGGACTCTGAGATCCCTCTCAGAGTTACTACTATTGAGCAAGGTACCACATCTATTCTACCTGTGCATTTGTGCATTTGTAGCTTAAGGAAATCAACCCTGACTGTCCTTTGGAAAGACAGATACTGAGGCTCAAGCTCAACTACTTTGGTCACCGAATGAGAAGAGAGCATCTATTGGAAAAGACCCTGAAGTTGGGTAAGATGGAAGGCAAAAGCAGACGGGGATGGCTGAGGGTGGAATGGTTAGATAGTGTGATTGACACAAGGTACATGAGTTTGGGCAAACTCCAGCAAACAGTGAAGGACAGAGGGGCTTGGTTGTGTGGTCCAAGAGGTTGCAAAGAGTCAGACACGACTTAATGATTGAAGAACAACAAATAGTTCAGCTTATGAAGTGAAATACAGAATTCCAGAGTTGAAAAAGATTTGGAGAGTTTTGTTATCACCTAGTCCATCTCTCTTTCCAGTCCAAGATTTATAATGTAGGCTGTCATCTTGTTAGATGATTGTCCAATCATGAAAGAAAAAAGGCAACCTCACCAAGTCGAGAACAAATTAATAATTAAACAGCTCCTACTGTTGGGAAGTCTTATTTAAGCTTACTCCAAACAACCACCCTCTAGAACCTCCAGGTCTAGTTTTGCCAGGTAGAACAACAGAAAATAAAGCTTATCTTTGGAAAGTTATCTCTTCTAAGCTGCTTCACTGATATTCCTACTCCAAATATCTGCTTTATCAAATAAGGTTGACATATTAGGAATCTTCTATTATTTCATGTGTATACAACCATACATGTATGCATTTTTAAAACTGATAATGTTACCTAGTTGGGTAATAAAACATTGCAAGCAAACGATAAAGCTCAGCTAGCACCAAGGACTCCACAATTCAACCCTGAGCTACAAATATTTGCTTCTATTGGTAAAATTATTATTGTCAAGCATTGCATAGTATGCAAGAAAACAAGCAAGCTCAGAGAGCACCAAGGACCTTGACATAAATATTATCCTTTGTTAGTCTTGCATAGTATGATGTGCTAATACAGTAGTTGTCTGCAACCCTCCAAAATCTCTTTTTACTATGTGTAGCTAAGATGCATATCTGGAGGCAGTAGTTGAGCTATGATATATCTTCAAATGGATACAGCAGATACTTTGAATTAAACACCCTTTCACAGTATGGTAGAAATTGTTGGGTAAATGACATCCAATTTGAGAGACTATAAATCCGTATAGACCTATTTAAAGACATATTCAAAAACCTTCTTTAATTCTGTATAGTTTTCCATTTCTCTCTAAGATCAGAGTCCTCAGATGATTAATGGCAAGAATAAGATTTGTCTTTCAAGGTTAAAAGCCAAATGAATGCACTGATGCTGCTACTATCTCTACAAATACAATTTTACAGGATAAAACATAAGGTCCTCTCTAAAGATCTGTTGCAGCGTCTCACCCTTAAGCAAGTTCCACTAGTTGACAAGTACTTCACTTTGTTTGACAACATATGTACATTTCACCAATCAGACCTGCATGTTGAAAGAATGTGAAAGGGTGTTGTTTCAAGATCTGGAAAAAATTAGCACACTGGTGTTTTTAATATTTATAACTTTAACATGGGATTTGCTGCAAATTGTGGTCAAGGCTGCACCTTCTTGGGGGTTTCAACAGAAATTCATGATCAATTCTTTTTTTCCACAAAGGATGGATTTTAAAAGGTAAACTGTTTGAAAATTGTAAGAGAGAGAAATGGATTTATACAACTCGTACATATGAACTACAGGGACGGTTAAGGCTAGTGGTGGGATTCAGCCAGTTCGCACCAGTTCAGGAGAACCGGTTGTTAACTTTCTGAGCAGTTTGGTGAACTAGTTATCAGAAGAAATCATTAGGGCAGATAACTGGTTGTTAAATTATTTGAATCCCATCATTGGTTAAGGCTATGGAAGGGCATTGTTTTGGAAGAAAATTAAAGAGAGAACTGGGGAAGAAATGGAGGTAGTGACAGATTTTATTTTCCTGGGCTCCAAGATCACCGCAGATGGGGACTACAACCAAGAAATTAAAATACGCTTGCTCCTGGGGAGGAAAGCTATGGCAAATCTAAACGCATACTAAAAAGCAGAGACATCACCCTGCCAACAAAAGTGCATATACTTAAAGGTATGGTTTTCCCAGTTGCAATGTATGGCTGTGAAAGTTGGACCACAAGGAAGGCTGAGCACCGAAGAATTGAAACCTCTGAAGTATGGTTCTGGGGAAGACACCTGCGACTCCCTTGGACTGCAAGGTGATCAAACTGGTCAGTCCTAGAGGAGATCAACCCTCACTGCTCTTTGGAAGGCCAGATCCTGAAGATGAAACTTAAGTACTTTGGCCATCTAATGAGAAGGGAAGACTCACTGGAAAAGAGCCAAATGCTGGGAATGATTGAGGGCAAAAGAAGAAGGGGATGGCAGAGAATGAGGTGGCTGGATGGAGTCACTGAAGCAGTCGGCATGAGCTTAAATGGACTCTGGGGGATAGTAGAGGACAGGAAGTCCTGGAGGAATGTTGTCCATGGGGTCGCGATGGGTCAGACATGACTTTGCGACTAACAACAACAAAATCAGGATTGGGCCATGATTAATATTTCCCAGTTTCTGGCCTTAATCTTCTTGAAGCAAAACCTTCATTCATTGTGTATCTTTCAGTTCAGCACTTTTACCTTGATTATTCCCTTGTGTGGACTCAGAGATGCTGACTCCCAACTGGCTGCCATAGGAGTTGATGCCCATCATGGCACTGTGAGCAGGAGAGCTGGACAAAGTAGGGATCTGACCTGGATTTCTTGGGACACTGTAGAGAGCTTCCGCAATATCAGCAGCTCGCTTCAGAATAATGTCCTGAAACAAGCAAACAACAACAAAAATCAGCATAAATTTTATTCCAAGGGGACTGATTTGCTTTACCAATTAGGAGGAGGAGGAGGGAGGAGCGAGGAGGGAGGAGGGAGGAGGGAGAGAAGGAGAAGGAGAAGGAGAAGGAGAAGGAGAAGGAGAAGGAGAAGGAGAAGGAGAAGAAGAAGAAGAAGAAGAAGAAGAAGAAGAAGAAGAAGAAGAAGAAATCCTTCCCAGATGTTCAGCAAACATGTGTCTTGAGATGGTAAAATGTGTAGGAAAATATCAAGATCAGGTCTGCTGCTGCTGCTGCTAACTGGATAATTTAAAAGTCCTCTTCCTCAAAGGTTTCATACTGAAAAAAATAAACTGTTCCTTTTGGTTTGGCCTCTCTGTGCAGTGGAAGACTAACAGAGTAAAAGGGTATCAGAAGGAAAGATAAAGGAGGATAAAGGAGGAGATACCAGAAAAAGAAAAAGGGGTACCCCTCCCCCCTCACTTGCCTCAACTCCATCAACTTTTGACATCTGAAATAGCTCTCCTTGAGGGAGATGAACGGTCTAGAAACATGAAATATAAATAAATAAAGTCACTCTGATGAGAAGTGTAGAAAAAATACTACTCAATCCTCACCTAGAGCCCAAGTGAGCCATCTGTGGGTTCTAAAGCTGCAAAACATAATAACCTAAAAGCCCTCTGGATCCTGACAATTGAGAACTCTAACAGGTGTTATCTGTCCCTGTTTTGGGAGGGCACTGAATGAAAAGGAGAGAGGAAGAATGAATAAATATAGAAAAAGAAGACTAGAAAAATTGGTAGATTAAAGGCAAAGAAATAAAAAACAGGGTAAAGGAAGATCTCCAAAATTACAAGCTTTTAAAAATGTTTATAAAACTTTTAGTAGTTTCTGTAGAAGCCAACCTTTTCTGTTTGCAGACTGTTTGAATAGTAATAAACTAATCCAATAGAGGAGAAAACTAACAGCATACTAGAAATTTCATCAAACAGGATGATGGAGGAACAACAGAACTAGTGGGTTGTATGCCCATCGTCTGCAACAGAGTTTAGAGGAAGAAGAAATTCTCTTCTTTGAATGAATTTCTGGGTTGAAATGGCAGATAAATTCTTATATACTTACAAGCATGAGAACTACCCCCCAGGTAAGACTATAGAGGAGTTTTAATGGAGCATTAAGCCTCGTCAGTTCCACTCAAGTAGGTAGGTGAAAGGGTGAATCAGAAGATGCTGCAAACCCAATGCTTTCTTTACACATTCACAAGATAAAAAGAGAGGAACTCTAACCTGATTGTTATGTGGTGTCCCATACAGTGCTTCGACTAGGTCAGCTGCTCGTTTCAAAAGCATCTCCTGCAAGCAGAAAGGAAGGACAACCAAGGGTATGTCATGCATTGAAAAAAATGTGGCAGTAAGAGCTAGGGGGCGTGCATAAGCACACAAATCGTGCCTACAGTCCCTGTCCTATTGTTTCTTTTTTTAATTTTTCTTATACGTATCCATTTCATGTATTCATAACTACGTTTATACTTATACCTGTTATCTTGTAAGCGATTGACAAAGCCAATCAAATAAAAATAAATAAATAAAATAAACAGGCAAGCACAATGTGAAACACAACGGACGCTGAAATCAAGCAGGACAAATGCTAGTGGTTTTTAAAAAACAACAACAAAAACTAGTGTTTAAAAAAAACACTAGTGTTTTTTTAAAATTATTATTATTTATTAGTAATTCATACTTCACCATTCTGTTTATGCACTCCCGGTAGCTTTTGGCCATGAAAACAAATAGAGGGAAGAGCACACTTAACCAGGCTTCCTTAATTCAATCATGCTCTGAACCAGGGAGGGGATTCAACCAGTGTAACTACCAGTTTGGTGAGTGCACCTGCTCCAAACACGTACTTTGTGTTGTCCCTGCAGCATTTGAAAACTGCCCTTTTTCAGCTCTCATGCTTCTACTGCAGCCTTGGTAAGTAAAACAGCTACGGCACAGCAATCTACTGTGCCGCACGAATAAGCTAAGCTGCAAAACATGGAAATAAAGGACAGACTGCGGGTGTGGGGGGAAAATGATCTCTGGAACTACTGGTTCACTCGAACTGGTCTGAACCAGTAGAATCCCACCCCTGCTCTGAACAGGCTAAGCCATAAAGCATGGTTTACAAAAACACTATGTTAAACTAAACCAAACCAATCCATCAGTTCATATCATGAGTCTGCCCAGAGTCAATCATGATTTACTTAATTATTTCATCTTTATTTTCATTTATTTTATTCATTTTATGTTGCATGTTGTACCACTTTTATTTTTATTGAGTGTAGAGTTGTTGTTGTCCCCCACACACACACACACCATCGTGTATGTTTCAACCAGTGTCTGTTCTCTGCAAGCTACTGAATGTCTCTTTGGATTGTGGCAACACAGAAATGTGTTTAATAAATAAATAAACTCACAATATACCGAGCATACAGTATTGAGGGGCTGACATACAATATAAAGGTAGTCCTTGACTGAGAACTATTTGTTAAGTAACCATTTGAAGTTATAACGGCACTGAAAAAATGACTTGTGAGCATTTTTCACACTTGCAGCTTCCTCACAGTCACGTGATCAAAATACAGACGCTTGGCCACAGACTCATATTTATGATGGCTGTAGTGTTCCACTGTAATCTGGCTTGCAATTGGGTTGTTATGCCCAGTCTGGCTTTTCTATTGATAAGCAAGGCCCATGGGGAAGACAGGTTAACAATTATCAGTGGTGGAATTAAAGATTTTTTGCTACCAGTTCTGTGGGCATGGCTTGGTGAGCATGGCATGGCTTGGGGAGTGTGGCTTGGTGGGCATGGCAGGGGAAGGATACTCTAAAATCTCCATTCCCACCCCACTCCTGGGGGAAGGTTGACACTGGTTCTCCAAACTACTCAAAATTTCTGCTACTTGTTCTCCAAAACTGGTCAGAACCTGCTGAATACCATCTCTGACAATTATGTTACTAACTTAACAACTGCAGAGATTCAGTTAACAACTGTGGCAAGAAAAGTGATAAAATGGGCAAAATTCACTTAACAAATATTTTGCTTAACAATAGAAAATTTGGGCTCAGTTATAGAGACATATGGAAAGGTGGCCGGTTTGAAAATAAATAAAGATAAGACAAAGATCTTGACAAAGAATATGCTATCAAGACAAAAGGAAGAATTGGCAGACCTATTGAAAATTCAGGTTACGAATAAGATCAAGTACTTGGGGATATACTTGACAGCAAGATGCAGTACACTAAAAGAGAATAATTATATCAAACTTAAACAGCAGATAGCGCTAGATTTGGCGAAATGAGAAAATTTACAACTGTCATTAATAGGGAGAACATCAACAATCAAGATTAATATATTACCCAGAATTTTATATTTGTTTCAAACAATTCCAAATAGGCTTGGAAAAGACTACTTTGAAGATTTAAATAAAATTGTGTTGAAATGTATATGGCAAAGTAAGAAAGCGAGAATAAAGTTAAAACTTTTGCAAGATGCTAGAATAAGAGGAGGATTTGGTTTGCCTAATTGGGAGTTGTATTACCAAGCTACAAATTTGATGTGGGTTAAGGAATGGATAACATTAAGAAATGCTAGATTGTTAACATTAGAAGGACATGATCTGTTGTTGGGGTAGCATGCTTTTCTATGGTATAAAGGAACTAAAACACAGGGGTATTTTAGAAGACATTATATACGGGAGTCTCTGTGGTTAAACTGGGAGAAGATTAAAAGACAATGTTATTTGAAAATTCCAGTCTGGCTGTCGACTATTGAAGCATTTTCTTATCCTATAATATACAAAAAGGAACAAACAGTTAGATATGGTGAAATATTGAATGAAAAGAGTGAACTTAAATCTATACAAAAACTAGAGGAACAAGGTATAATGATGAATTGGTTTTCATATGCGCAAATAATTCAAGGTATGATAAAGATTCTAAAACAGAAGGTTTCTATGATAAATTGACTGATTTAGATAAGATTTTGACAGGTACTGATGAAAAGGTGATTAAAAAATTGTATGGATATTTATTAGAAATTAAACTAGAAGAAGAACAAGTTAAAGAAACTATGATTGCTTGGGGGAAGAATTTTGGATATGGGATTGATTTAGAGAAATGGCAAAAATTGTGGTCTCAAAATTATAAAATGACAATGTCAACAGCATATAAAGAAAATTTGTATAAGATGTTTTACAGGTGGCATTTCCCCCCAACAAGAATAGCAAGAATGTTCAAGAATAAATCTGAAAAATGTTGGAAATGTCATCAGACACCTGGCTCATATTACCATATGTGGTGGACTTGTGTGGACGCTAAAAAATACTGGACTAAAATCCACACATGGTTGGAAAAAATGACAAAAAAAACCACATAGATTTGAAACCAGAGATATTTTTCTTGGGAATTTTACCTGAAATATATAGTAAAGACTTGAAATACCTGAATGTAAATGTATTAACGGCGGCTAGGATTGTATTTGCTAAAAACTGGAAAAATGAGAAAACACCATCACAGGAGGAAATCATTAAGAAAATATTGGAATGTACTGAAATGAGTAGATTGACATTTGAAATTAGAGAACAAGAGGATAAACAATTTTATAAAATTTGGGATCTACTCTATTAATGGTTAGACAATAAAATATAATAATGAAATATGTAGACTTTTAGAAAATAATAAATATATAAAGATGTATTCTTTTCTTATTATATCTACAAAATGATTCTAGGATAGATTTGGGATGATAATATGAACTGTCATAAAACAAATTAAGTAAAATATGATTATTTCGTAAAACATGAATGAATAAAAGTATAGTCAAATGATTTAATAATAATGATATTAATGTATTTAATATTTGATTGAAAATACGAGATTATATACAATGTAATTGTAATTGAAGACTACGAAATGGAAGCACAAAACAATTTGTAAACCAACTGGCACACTGTATGTATATATATGGAAGATGACTTGATGTTTTTATGTTTTGTTTGTTTATGTTTGTTTTAAAAACCAATAAAAAAATTTTTTTTTAAAAAAAAGAAAATATGGGCTCGGTTGTGGTCATAAGTCAAGGACTACCTGTATTGTGTATAAATTGGCTACACAGATCAGGGTTGGGTAAACAATGGTAGAATTAAACGTGGGAAGTTGGTTTGTGATTCAGAAGACCAGACCAATGAAGCCATTATCTTTTAACTTGTTATGTGAATGAAGTCAATAGGTGAGGAAGTGAGATTTACCTTTGCTAGTCTTTCTGGATCACCAGGATGTCTCGGGATGACCTTCTGGAGTCTTTGGAAACCATAGTCTATGGTTGGCTCATTTAAAGCTGAAAAAGAGGGTGGAAAAAGAGTAACAAGTGAAATTTTTATAGGGGAGGGGGAAAAAAACCTCAATAGTTGAAAATTATTTTGCACTAAAAAAGAAAAGGAATAATGGAAGAAACCAATAATCAATGTTGCACGCATATGAAGGAATGGATAATAAAACCTAAGGGGTACGGTGGCTCAGTGGCTAAGACGCTGAGCTTGTCGATCAGAAAGGTCGGCAGTTTGGCAGTTCGAATCCCTAGCACTGCATAATGGAGTGAGCTCCCATTACTTGTCCCAGCTTCTGCCAACCTAACAGTTCAAAAGCATGTAAAAATGCAAGTAGAAAAATAGGGAGAGAGAAAAAAGAAGCTTTTCAACATTTGTGACAGCTACTGTTCAAAGAGGAGGTGATATTTATGGCCAGAATTTGCACAAGTTTATCTTGGGCATTGTTGGTGCCCATTCTTGAACAGGGAAGCCCTTCAGATGCTCATTTACACCCTAGGCACCTCACAATTGGACTATGGCAATGTGTTTTGCATGGGGCTTCCCTTGAAGACCATCTGGAAGATGCAGATGGTTTAAAATGTAACAGTGTGAGCAGTAAAGGGTGCTTCCAATTATGCCCGTGTGTCATCACTGCTACTTAACTTGTATTGGTTACCAGTCAACTTCTACAAAATGAGGAGTAGAAATAACCTTGAGGAATAAGAGGATGAATCACAATCGAGAAAATCATCAGATAAAATAAATTTTAGCCTAAAACAGAACTTAATTTTAAAAAACTTTTAATCAACGGTGAAAATAACCTTGGGAGATAGAAGAAAGAACCACTGCCTAGACAATAGTTTGGTAAGAGAAATCAAAGTCCAAAGCATCTCAGAAGGACCCAGATCTCTGGAAAGTTAAGGCCGGGAAGGAGAGAAGTACTTTCAGACTTGCAAGATTATGTTACTATAACTTTACAATAAAGATAGAATTAGTTTTAGAGATTTTGCTTTGCTGTCTAGACTTCCTCAAGGGGTAACAGACCTGACACTCCTGTGCATTCATCCCATGTATTCAGACTTGCAAGATTTTTTTATTGTAACTTTTTAATAAAATTAATTGACGTATTGACGTTCATGATTTTTGTTTAGTCTGGTATATTTAAAAGGCTGACATTCTGGAGGCAATTCAAGATGCTGATTGGATATATTGTAAACTGACCAACTTTTTCTAATTGGGCAGCCTTAACAAATCAAATCAATCAAATCAATCAAATCAATCAAATCAATCAAATCAA